ACCGGGGTTCAATCCCCGACGGGGGCAGAGGATTTTTCTTCTAGCCTCTGCGTCCAGACCGGCTCTGGGGCCCACCCAGCCTCCTCTACAATGGGTACCAGGGTCCTTTCCCGGGGGTAAAGCCGGCCGGGGCGTGATGCTGACCACTCACCCCATCTAGTGCCGTGGTCAAGAAAGAGTAGGAGCTATACCTCCACTCACCCCAAGCGCCTGTATGGCACGTAGCAGGACAAACTTTACTTTACAGTAATGAACTAAACAAAATAAAAATTAAAATGATTGCAGGCTTGTAAGGACCACCAACGAGACCCAGATTTCTGTGTAGTGGCGAGAGTTGAAGCCTTCATTGCTGGCTGGGGCCTGCAAGAAGCTCTAACTAGAGCAGAAGCTTACAGAAATGCTGGTGCTGATGCCATTCTCATTCACAGCAAGAAGTCTGACCCCTCTGATATTGAAGCTTTCATGTCTCAGTGGGGAAACAAGGTATGCAGCAATTGGTATTTTAAGGTTTGTATGAGCAACCAGATTCCGAATTTCTGCAACAACTGAAAACATTGATGAGCTGGTGTACTGGGTCATTTAATTATAAACCCTGATTATACACTCCACATATTCCAAACACAGTACAGAAATAATAAATGGAAATAAAATACTGTTGGCTCATGAGCTCATATACACTAGTGGTGGACTAGTGGTTAGCTTGCTTGCCAATGGACCCAAGGTTCACGGGTTCAAACCCGGCTGAGGTTGATGGATTTTTAAGGGTTTCAAAAATCTATAGCACAACTTCCTTTAGAGGGGAAGTAAAGACTGAGGTCCCATGTTGTAAATTTGCTGCATGTAAAATTACCTTATGAGCATGAAGGAGATGTTTTGTAAGCAAAATTCAGCGGCCATTTCTCACCCAAGTCTCTCCTGATTCTCTACTAGATGGCTCTAGCAGACAAATCAGAATCAAGTAGAAATTGTGCAGAGGCAGTGGGCTTGTCACTCACTACTCATAAATTCACACTTCAAAGACAAAGAAACCTCCCACGTGGGAGGAGGCCAAGGCTCGACTTTGGGCTGTTGTGCCATAGAAAGAAGAAATATAAGGAAGTAGAAAGAAAGAACAAAAGTAGTACAATGTGGCTACATGTTAATGATTGAAAATACATTGATATGGTAACAGGATCACAAACAAACATATTCAAGTCACATACACTATCTACTATAATTTCAAAGTTAAATTTAAACATAATTTTGCAGATTTTACAGGTCTGATTGCAGAACTTTTATTTTTCTTGACATCAGAGCAATATTAGCATCCAAACGACTGGTAATAAACCTGAATCTCATAAAAGAACCTTGGTAAAATAATTTCTAATTAACTCATTATGAACTATGTAAGCAATACATAATTAGGGTACTATTGAAAAGAACAAATGTAATTCCAGATTAT